AAAACTAAATTTTCCCAAAACTAATGACGAATAAGAAATGGGAATGTGATAAACAGACTTTTCAAAGAAGAAATTCAATGGCAGAAAACACATGAAAAAATGCTCACCCTCTCTAGCAATAAAGGAAATGCAAATTAAACCAACTAAGATTCCACCTCACCCTGTTGAATAGCCATCATCAGAACCACAACAACCAGGTGTTGGAGGATGGGGGAAAAAGGAACTTTGAGCACTGTTGGTGGAATGTAAACTAGTACAATCCATTCTGGACAAAAATTTTGGAGCTACTTTAAAAAGCTGGACATTCGATCTACATTTGATCGCATACCATCTTGGGGATTACCAAGACTGTTACTTCAGAGGCAACCTGCACATCATGGCTTATTGCAGCACTATTCACAAATAGCCAGTTTATGGAAACAGCAAGATGCCCGCACTGACGAATGGATTAAGAAAATGTGGTATTCTATAAAATGGAATTTATGCAGCCATGAAGAAGAACGAATGTTATCATTCGCTGGTAATGGATGGAATTGGAGAACATCATTCTGAGTGAGGTTAGCCTGGCCAAAAGACCAAAAATCGTATGTTCTCCTCATATGTGGACATTAGATCAAGGGCAAACACAACAAGGGGATTGGACTATGAGCACATGATAAAAGCGAGAGCACACAAGGGAGGGGTGAGGATAGGTAAGAACCTAAAAAACTAGCTAGCATTTGTTGCCCTTAATGCAGAGAAACTAAAGCAGATACTTAAAGCAACTGAGGCCAATAGGAAAAGGGGAACAGGACTAGAGAAAAGGTTAGATCAAAAGAATTAACCTAGAAGGTAACACCCGCACAGGAAATCAATGTGAGTCAATGCCCTGTATAGCTATCCTTATCTCAACCAGCAAAACCCTTGTTCCTTCCTATTATGCTTATACTCTCTCTACAACAAAATTAGAGATAAGGGCAAAATAGTTTTCTGCTGGGTATTGAGGGGGGGCGGGAGGGGGTGGAGTGGGTGGTAAGGGAGGGGGTGGGGGCGGGGGAGAAATGAACCAAGCCTTGTATGCACATATGAATAATAAAAGAAAAAAAAAAGAACTAATTCCATATTGGGGGAACTCTTGTAAATGTCACGATGTATCCCCAGTACAATAATGTGATAATAAAAAAGGTTAAAAATCAATAAAAATACTAATCCCATAGGCCACAGTACCCCTAGAGAAGTGGTCCTGTGAGATATGGAGCAAACTTAACAGGTTGCTTGTCGCCATTATGTCTCTTGCCAGACAGACCTTCCGGAGCTACAGCCCTTACTAGATTCCTTCTAGATCTTAAAAAAGAGTCAAGGAGAGACCTCCTGTTCTTCCAGAAACCTGGGTGTTTTCATGAATGGCTATCTTGTGGGTCAGGTATTTGGGAATTTGGAAATTCAAATTACTGCAATCCAGTCATTCATTGCCACCTTAATCTTCCCCAGGGTTCCAAAAGCATCTTGGCAATAAGAGCAGAATGTTCTGGAAAGTTATGGAGAGTTCAGCACCCCCCAGTTCCCTCAACACATGTAAATATTTTGAGGTATATTTCCATCCCAATTCCACTGAAACCCATAATTACAAATTCTTTCTTCAGTTTCACCTTTACATTGTCCCAAGTGAAAGTGATCTATGTAAAATGTGAATGCCCTGGGGGAAGTCATCTGAGGCAATGATTAAATTCTATCATTTCTATGTATTTTAGTTATTTTCCTTTTTTCTCTCTTAAAACAGCACTGTGGCACAATATGGATGTTCTTAATTGTATTTAACTGTACACTTAAAATTATAAAGCTGGTAAATTTTACATCATGTATATTTTTTCACAATTGTAAAAAGAATAGCTGAGGCATTCCCCAGTCTGCTCTGACTGCCCTCTCTTCAGAGGAAGAGACATAGTTCATAAGCTTTGACTGTGAGTCTGTCTTTCCTCAAAACTCAGCTGATGGGGCATTGGTGGGGCACCGGGCCCTTGCTATGAGGCCAAGCACAGAAAGAAGGGTTGCCTTAGTCACATTGTCTTCCTGGGCAGGCTGGAGGCTAAGTAATAGAAGGGCTGGAAAGTGACTTCACATCTACCTTCTCCCAAGGCTGGATCTTGACCCATCTAATTTATTCACCTTTGGTAGTCCTCAGTCATGTTCCCTTAACCTTCATGGAGAATTTTACACTGCAATTTGTCCCTCCCAAAGTCCATATCCTCTGATTCTTACCCTTCATTCTCTTCTCTTATGCTTTCTTTGTTGTTTTGTTTTGTTGAGACCAGTCTCACTATGTAATGAAGGCAGGCCTCAAAATTGGGATCTTCCTGTCTCCATCTTACAGATTTGTGCCACCATGCATGGCTCTCTTACGTTTTCTACCAGCCATTAAGGACCCGTGTCTTCAAAAGTCCATATAACAGTCCTTTCAGAGCCCTGTAAATAAGGTATTATAATCATATTTTTTAAAGGGCACCATGGGCCTTCAGGTAAAGTGGAGCAGAGTAGGATGGGTGAGACAGTCATGTATGGCTTCCCAGTCAGCCAAGATTCTAAGAATGGGGGAGATAGGATCAGAAATCCAGGAGCTACTACTTAAGTACAGTGTTGGCAATTTTCTTTGAGCAACAAGAAGAGACTCTACCGAGTAGAGAATTTTCTCTTCCTTCTACTTCCTTCACCTAACTGCTAAAGAGTACTCTCAAGGAAGAAAAAGAAAAACATAAACTGAACACCTTATACATCTATAGCTGCTATATTGCTCTTAACTGTTCCTCAGGATTTCACTTGATCCTCAAATCCCCACAGGGCCCAGAGAGGTTAAGCAGTTTATTCTGACAAACAAAGCTGGCTAATTGATGAAGCCAGGGCTGGACCCCAGTTCTCCTGATTTCGGGTCCTGTGCTCTCTCTGAGGCATCACAGCACATTTGCTTTAGCCGCCAGGCAAGATTGTTTGGAAAGCAGCCCAGGCCCTTTTCTTTTTGCTGATACAAATTATGTGCAGGTCTCGGGTTTATAAAAGCAATGACAAATTGAAAGAAGATGGTAACTAGAAACAAAGGAAAGAGTCCATTTATCTCCCTGTAGAAAAATAAAATTGACAAGGTAGAAATAGGTCTGTGATGGAAGAAAAGCTTATGTTTAGTGGTGTTCTGTTGGTGAGCACTTCCAGACATTGCATCTCAAAACATTTCCTAGTTCCTCTTTGTTGAAAGCATCAAGTTACAAGTAAGGAAGCATGGGTCTTTGGTTTCATTATTATTACAGCCCAAAGATCTGAACTTGAATGGAAACAGGATATGTATGCAGAGGGGAGAAATAGACTGCTAGGTGCAGGTGAAAAAGAATCACTCTAATTTATTCGAATATTTATCACCTATGAAATCACATTAAGAATAAGGCTAACATCTTCCAAATTTCTACTGTCCACTCATACTATTTGGGATTACGTTATCAAGACTACAGGTTGGTCAAGCACCTGCTTTTTCTTTTTTCTAGCTTTTGCTGACCACAATATGATCATTTTAATGCTGTTGGTACTCCCCTGGCTGGTAGATACCTAAGTGGCCAAACTTTTGGGAAGATTCATTATCTAGGGCATTGTTGCCACTGGGAAAATATTTGAAAAAAGTGGTTTTTTAAAAATTTCAAATCACTCCCCCACAGGCCAGTTCAGTTTTCTCAGAGGGACCCTTCCATAGCTTCTCTGGTTACACATTCTTAATGGGTATCCTAAATCATCATAAAAAGGTTAAAATGTTTTTAAAAGCAGGAATGCTTTGGCATGGGAATGGTTTCCCACAGCTGGCACACCAATGCTTGCTTTATTTTTGGCAATATATTCTTTCAAATGTCTATGGAAAATGGTACAAGTATGTTTACAAAGTTTCAACACCTAGAGCAGTCATTGTGCTTCATTATCAAAATAACTCTGTGTCCCCACTTTATGCCACATAAATGAAGAACCCCATTGTACTCAAAACACAAGGCTAGAGACTGCCCCCATACCTTCCACCATTACTGTACATGGTGCCCTCTCTCTACATCTCATGCCTCCCCAGATTGCTGAGATGGCTCTCACAGCATATCTCTCCCCGTCATTGTCTTGGACTCATGCCCAATCCCTGGCCCCCACCTTCAAGGAGAGGGGGTGACCTTAAGGCTGGAACTAGTACTGGAGAGGAGCCAATGGGGCAATGCCAGTATAGCTTCAAGAAAGGAGCAAATCCTGGGAACAAAGTTCATTTAACTTATTAATAGCCCCAGCATAACACCAGTTGAATGGGAAGGTCAAAGGCAGGACCTTGAATGAGGTTTGCATACTATGAATGCATTTAAGTGACCCATAATATCTTTGTCCTGCTATCACTGAACAATATCAGCTATATTGAAACACACTGGCTTACTGCTAAGAGGCAATTGATTTCGTGTAGGTTTGATGAAGCCCAAATCATCATTACCAGGTATAAGCATTTTAGCCCTAAGAGGTAAGTTTCTGACACACTTCTTGAGAAGGAGAATAAATCAATAAACTTACAGCTCCAGGGCCAGGTATGGTGGTTCAGACCTATCATCCCAGCACTTGGGTGGCCAAGTCAAGAAAATCTTGCGTTCAAGGCCAGCCTGGGCTACATAGAGAGTTTCAGGCAAACCTAGGCTACCTAGCAAGACCCTGTCTCAAAAACAAACAATCAACAACAAAAATAACCATATACCTCTAACTTTAGCTATCATTACTTAGCTCAAACATCTTCCCTCTGACTTAAGACTTATACTGTGGTGTGGCTGTTTTAGAATAAAAATTAGCTTTGATAATAACTAAGAGTAATGGGCCTAGGAGTTGTTTTTCTTTTTTTTTTTGCAGTACTGGGATTTGAACTCAGGGTCTACACCTTCAGCCACTCCACCAGCCCTTTTTCTGATGAAGGGTTTTTTCGAGATAGGGTCTTGTGAACTATTTGCCCAAGCTGGCTTTGAACCTCGATCCTCCTGATCTCTGCCACCTGTGTTGCTAGGATTACAAGTGTGAGACACCGGTCCCCAGCTCTAGGAGTTGTTTTTAAACAGCATCCTGAAATACTGCAAAAGGAAAGTGGGAAATCCTTATTTAGACTCTTCATATTTAAAGGTGATTCAGAATTAAGAACAAAAGAAGGAAGAATTAATAAATGGGTATAACTTTTGAAACACAGGCAAAAACAATCCATTTAGCCATATAAGCTGGTCTTCACTATGTTGCTCAAATTGGCCTTCAACTTGTGAGCTCAATCTACCTTTCTGTCTCAGCCTCCTGGATATCTGGGACTACAGGTGAACACCACTGGGTCCAGCCCAGCTCAAACCTATTCTTCACCCACAATCACACCTATCATATTGGACCTATTGTAAATATAGCTGTCATAACAACCCAACTCTCAAATGCAAATTCATTTCAAAAGGCAAAATGAAATTCTTCTTCTCTGTATAGTACTGGGTCTCAAGGTTGGGATCTTTGAGAGAAGAGTCAACATTAGTGTTTAAAGAACCTTTATTACCTGCCTCTGCCATTCCCCAGGGTTACACAGTAAGGGACATCTGAGACTTTTCCTCCATGGACAAAGCACACACAGCAATAACTGAATCAATATAGGAGAGGCATTGGGAAGTATCGGGTGATGTGCCAGTAACGACTACCCATGCCAGATGACCAATTTACTAAAACTCAGACAAGTTACCTTTGGGTTGACAACTGGGGAGGCAAGAAAACCATACAGTTGGGGTCATAGATCGTTCCCTCCCATTGAGCCCTTCCGGCCTTTCAGTCTCTACTTAAGTCCATTCTATCCCATAAACTGATCCTAGCATCCTGCTAGCTCCTGCTGAAAGGGAGAGGGAGGGAAAAGATGTCTGAGGTCTCTTCATTTTCTTTGTCTCTGTCCCTAAGGCAACAGGAAGCTGGAGCTGCTGCTGCTGGCCTGGCAGTGATGGTAAGTCTTCTTGGCTCTGCAGAGTGAGCAGTCCCTGACAGTCCCCGGAGCAGCAGCCAGTTAGACGGCCCAGTCTGCTAGACTCATTGCTTCAATTCAATGCCAAGTGTTGGACGTGTTGGATTCAGTTCCCAGAGTGGTGGAGCATGGTGTCAGGGCTGTCTGAAGACAAGAGAGCAGAGGCAGTTTAGCGAAGTTGGATGTGCAGGCTGGGGATGGAAGCATGGGAGGAAAGGAGGGAGAAACTGGCCAGCAGGGAGTAAGGTGGTGCTCCTCTGTCCTGGGCCTTCCAGACCAGGTCTGGAGCTCTCCTCCTTGTCTGAGGTGAGCCTGGAAGGGGAGGAAAGAGCGGGGCCGCGCCCAGGGATAAGCTAGAAGAGGGCGCAGCGAGCTAGGGCAGTGGATCTAGACCGGCTTGGCGCCCAGGGCTGGAGCAGGCAGCGCCCCAGGGACAGGCTGAGGGAGGCCCTGAGCCGGGGGCCGGGCGGCAGTCTCGGCGTCGTCGTCGTTCACCCGGCTGCTACCTGCGGCCCATTCCTGCTCGCAGGCGCCGGCACAGGCCTGGGATGGCTCGTCCTTGGCCTTGACGAGCCTGCGGGAGCGGGTGTAGGCCAGGATAAGGCCTCCCGCTAGGCAGGCGTAGAAGATCATGATGAGCAGGATGTAGAGATAGGCGTCGTCGCCCTTGGCGCTGGTCACCTCGCGGCCCACGAAAGGATCAGGCACGACCCCCATGCCCATGCTCGGGCCGGGGCCGGTGCCCAGGCCGCTGGCGTTGCCCCGATGGTGCAGCTCGAGCAGCAGGCGGCTCAAGAGGGTTCGCAGCCGTTGGCTCTCGCTGCAGTTCATGGCTGTTGGGGAGTGACACGGAGGCTCCAGGACGCTGCTGACCTTTCCCCCTGAGCGAGGGGAAGCAAGCAAGCGAGCAAGCGAGAGGCCCGGCAGGAGGGCAGGCAGGGCGCGGCGATGGCGACGGCGACCGCGGTGGCACCCAGCTCGGGGGCAGGCGCGCAGTGGCTGGGGGCACCGGTCGCCGGGCCTCCTTATCCCCTCAGTCCCGCGCCTCCGCCCCTTCCCCACCACGCCCCCTCCGGCCCGGTGGCCGCCTCTTCCCAGGCTCTGGCTGTCTAGCCGCTCTGGAGAAAGGGGACAGCTGGTAGGGGAGGAGAAGGGGACAAGGGAGGGGGTGAGCCTAGAGGAGGGGCGGAGGGGGCGGGGGCTCGGAATGCGCGAGGCCCCAGGCAGCACAGGCTGGCAAGGCGGCGTGCCGGGCCAAGACTGGAACCTGGGCTGCGGAAGAGAATTCCTTCCAAGTTCTGGCCATGTGCCCTGCAGGCCCGGCTTTGGCTCAGATACAGGAGCTGCACCCCCAAGATAGGATCTGCCCCGGGGTGCACCCAAAAGAAACCTCAGTCGTCTTGGGGCAGCACTCCAGTAACATGGCAGCAGAGAAGCCTTGTTCACATCTATGGCAGTTACTCCAGTAAATGAGGACCTATCTTTCCAGTCCTCATACCTTTTTCTCATGGTCACCCCACCCCTGGTCCCAGGGGAGCATCTTATTCAGAAGATGCTGAGACCAAACTTGGTGAGTGAGTGATTAGGTACTTGTTTAGAAAGCCAATGCAGAGTAGGACTCCCAGGTTGTCCAAAATGGTTTCCAATGATTGCTCTCATCTCCTAAGCACACTTTTCCAGGGTCCCACACACATCTTAGCATGTGAGTGTACAGTGCATGATAGGACCCTGTTTCCTCTGGATAAGCCATCTTCCCAGAAATGAAACCAAGTTCTTCCTTTAAGAGAAGGAGGGACATTAATATGTCTCTGACTACACTCCTTAGATCTCTCAGAATCTAAAATTGCCAGTTGTCGAAAATATGCTTACCACACTCCCAGTTAAGTTGACATGCAGCTATGTGTCTCTCTAGGACTTGGGCAGCCATTTTTTTCTTCCTCAGGTAGTATCTTCTTTTTGGAAAAAACAAAGCAGTAAGACAAAGATCAGTTTCAACTACGTTAAACTGAAAACAGATTGGACTTCACATAGGGAAAAGGTTCAATTGTAGATAGTGAGGGACAAAAACATGAGGTACTGCTGGTGGTCAGGTCTGGTTGCATATACTCACCAAAGAGAATAAAAGAAAAGTATATACTCTTATGCACACTTTGCAAACAAGCTGCCTCGTCAATACCATTGAATCCAGGGGTCAAACTGCAAGTGCCATGAATTTTTAAAAGGAAGGTTTTCTGGTGCCTAAGCCCCAGCCATCCTTCAGTCCACTGTTCATCCACTCGGGCTCTAGCCTTCTGTCTATTGAGGTGAAAAGTTAGTATCCAGGGTCTCAGACAGAGCCTAGATTCACAGACTCCTCATAGACCTCAAAGACATTCCACTGCTCAACTCTCTCACTTCAGAGGGGCTCAGGGAAGAACTGAAAAGTGACTTGACATGTGCAATACCAGAAGACACAGCTAGGGACTTTTCAAAGCAATCTAGGGATATGACTGTATGGGATATCCCCACCTAAGGATATGACTGCTAAACTGAATCCTCTTGTCTGTTAAAACATGTCTAGGAATATCTTAAGTTTGGGGAGTACACTCGAGGAGGGCTAGAAGAAGAAGCTACTTCACTAGGACAAAGAATAATCATTTAAACTTATAGTGTACTTTTCAACAGCCTTAGGAACTAGTAGGACCATTCTCATTTTCAGAAGAGGAAATGGAGATTCCGAGTGGTTAAGTGCAACTAGAATTATAAAGTTTGATCTTGTTCTTCTCGGTGCTCTGATATTACTCTTGTCACATGGATAATATCAATGAGCTTTCTCCGTTTTCCCACCTCTCCCTCCTCTGGAATCTTCTCCAGTACTTTCTGCCAAACTGCCCTCTGTAAGTTCACAGTGACCTCCAGGCCAAATTCAAGGGTTTCTGCTGTTTGCCTCTTTGACCTTGAGGATGAATTTGATACCATCAACCACCCACTTCTTCCTGTAGCTGTCCTAGCCTTGGCTCTCCGGGCATTGCATTCGTATTCTCACGTTTGTCTTATCTCTCTGGCCCATCATTCTGTCTTCTTTGCTGGCTCCTCTTCTTTCTTCCTCCGATTAACTGTTGGAATCCCTGAAGACTTGATGCTAGGCTATTTTCTCTCAACATCTATTTCCTTGGAAAGTGTCTCCTTACATGGTTTCACCTACTACCTGGCGTATATTTAGTCAAATTTGAATCTCCAGCTCTGACTCTTTCTTGGTAGCATCTCTCAGATCCATCCGTTTCTTCCTTTCTGGTTTTATTGCCATAACTTAACCCATGCTCTCATTACCTCAGATCAAATATGCAGACTGAGAATCTCTTGGCAGCTCTTCCTGCCTACAGCCCAATCCACCAGGCTTTGACTAGAATAATTCTCCTCCAACACCACTTAAATCAGTTCACCTCTATATTTGGAAAACCCGAGGTGCTTCTCATTGCTGCTTTCATGGAACCCAGTCTTCTCTGGTGGGCCTCAAGTTCTCATAACCAATAGACACAGTCTCCTCCTCCTCTGAGTTAAAAAAATAGCATACTCCTGGCGTTCCTCTCCAATATATTGCGCCTTTTGCCTTCCTCAAAATTCATAGAAGGGAGCCTTGTTCCATACTCCTGTTTGTGTTCTCAGACTTCACAGTGCACCCCTCCTGGTTGCACCCTAACTCAGATTGCAGAGTTCAGTGCAGAAATCTTGTAAAACACAGAAAAGCACCAAGAAAAAAATTATCAGTAGTATGCTCACATTTCCCTACATGCATAGTTGCATACATGAGCTCATGTACATACACACACACACACACACACACACACACACTGTTTCATAGCCTATCTTTTTCACTTAGTACGTTTTGAATTTTCCCCATGTCTCTTGCTATTTTTCTATAACATTATCTCATTTTCTACAGAGTATTTCAGACTATGGGCCTATTGTCATTTATTTAAATTAGCTCCTATTGTAAGATTTTTATTATTTCTAGATTTCTCACAATTAAAAATAATGTTTTGACGAGCACATCCAAGGCTAATTCTAATTCCATTAAAAGAAATCGTGACCAAAGAGAAAGCAAATTACCAACTTACACAGGCATGGGGAGCAGTATATGTGCATCACAGGGTGGAAACAGAAATGGAGAATAGTCATAAAACTTAAATAGTCCCAACCCTCAGGAAAAAACAAAAACCAACAGGTGTGTGTGGGGATTCTGGCTTTCTTTTTACACCAGGGGCTGCTGAGCATCCCTTCAAATCCCAGTCCCGAGCCAACCCTGGATGGCTGAAATGCCAAACCCTTTCCCTACCACACTTAATGAAACAGAGAATCCTTTGGACAGGGACTGCTTCTTATTTATTCCTCCCCATCCCTCCACCCTTTCCACACCTGCCCCATACCTGTCAAATACTCATCTGTTTACCCATCCTCTAGGATTTACTTATTTCCTGAATGGTAATCAAGTGTGTTGACAAAGGGAAGTAATTTATAATCATATATTTAGACTTTCAAAAACTCTTAGAAAAGGTTCCAATCCATGCCAGCGTTTTCTTAAAAGTACAATTGAGGCGCCATGGACTAGGAAATGCTTTCGACATTCCTTGAGACTGTGAGTGCTTCCTGCCAACAGTGCAGCTCCATGGAAGTTGGTTGAATTGAACGAGTTGAGTTTGGCTAGTTGCCACAGGACAGGCACAGATGGTAAGCACTGTTGGTGTCCAAGAGGCTGGCAAAGCCACAATGGCTCTGAAAGAGGGGAGGAGAGGCAGACTCATGAAGTATTGACTGCAGATGGAGAATGAATCATTCACTCATTCAGCAATTAGTTATTACAGATTACTTTGTGCAAGGCCCCATGCTGGGTCCAAGAGACACATCGGTGAGTAAGACACGTACATCGAACAGTCAGTGATTTTCTAACTCTCTCAGCCACTTCTTTGTGAACTGGGAACTAGTAGAGAGGGCCAGGACATGGAGACGAGTGAGCTGTGGGGAGGGAGGCCAGCCAGAATTCTGGTTTGGAGGAAATTGTGACTCTAGACCCGAACTCAAAGCACTAGGGTCCAAAGGGTCATCTGAAAAAAGGAAGTTCCTAGGTGATGTGAGCTCACTGTCTGCTACTAGCATCTCACCCTACCAGCTCCTAGTACTGCTATCTGGCCTGCTACAAGCCACCCAGCAGGTCTGTTGTCAAAAGATGGATGAGAATAAATGGGACAGTTCCTAGATCCAGCTGGGGCTTCTCAGTTGTCCCATGGGAACGTCATACTATTGGGTCGGTAATAGGCTCATGATAAACGTCATGATATCTATGGGTAGGAATGGGCTGAGGGCTTCAAGGGCCTGTCTTCAAGATTTCTTGGAGATCTTGGTGGGCTCGTGCTGGGATTGCCCCATGCCCAAGCCATATACTGTAGCATCAGTATGTTCTCTGGCCCCACTCATTGAGTTCTTAGCATGTGCCAGGCATATTACATACATTATGTCAATTAACCTCACATCAGCTCTATGAGCTGGGCAGGGCGATGTGAAAAATACGTAACAGCAGTGTTATCTGGAACATGGACCAATCATAATGGACTAGTGAACGATCATGGCTTAACCGAGCCACAACATCACGGGGCAAAGAAGTAGCTTTCCACTTCTCAGAGGATCAAAGCAAGGCCTCATCTCCTTGGGCTTCAGGGCAGTCCCGGTTCATCAGAACCTCCTCTTTCCCTAGGGATGCTCACCTGTTTCCAGTGCTTATTCAGGTACTCACCTGTGAAGTCCTCTAAAGTAAAGCATTGCATGAATTCTTTTAAGTAAAACTTTTTTTTTACAATTTTTATTAGCATGTTAGATGTAGAGGGGTGTTCATTTTGGCCTTTACATGTGTGCTTACAGTGTATCTTAATTAGATTCACCTCTCCACCATTCTCCCTCAATATTTTTATTAACACAAAGTAATGAGATTCACTGTGATATCTCCATGCATTCACAAAGCATACATGTGCATCCATCCAC